TTCGGTGCTCCAGATTTGGGTTCGCAGGTTTCGAGGGCAAAGGACATGATACCTTCTGGCAGGGCACAACGTCGTGACTCGGCAAATACAAAGGATTTCGTGAACATGCAATCCCAAACCCGACGCGAAGGCCTGAAACCCTGATGAACCGTTGAGCTGCAGTACCCTCCAACCGTCAAGCCGACGTCAGGGTTCACAGAATAAGGGCGACCCGGCTGTGAATGTTGCGCCTTGACGCCGTTCGGAAGCTTCGCCGCATCCTGTGCAGCTGGCGAGTCTTGTGGGGTTAGGGAGGTTTAGGGTTTAGGGCTTAGGAGTGAAACCCAAAATCCCACACCCTCCCAAAGCCCCATAGTTTCGGCTCTGGGGATTTGGAATTTAGGCTTGCCCTAACCCCTGACAACCCACCCCTCTGAAGAATCCCCCCAACCCCAATGACCCGTAAATCTGCAACCTTCATAGCCTCCAGCAACTAAACCTGATCAACAGCCCCAACTTGACGTCCAACCCTAAGTTCCGAAAACCCTTATAGTCCTTATGACAAAACATTCTACTACCTGCCGTCTGAATCAGGGCCCCTTAATAGTTTCCAAAACTGCCAAGGTGTCCAAAGTTTCGGCTCTGCTTTCGTAGTGGGATGGTAGCTAGAAATTCAGAACTTATTTGGTTTTCAAGGGCTTCGGCTTTGAGACCTTATGATTTCGACCTCTTGGGCCTTTCGGATCTGTGAAGGAAGTTTGGGCGTCAGCTTTAACCGCGACCGAGTCGCCTACGGAGTGAGCTTCAGGCTTGAGGGCTACCTACCTCTAGGCTACCCTCAAGTAAGATGGGGTCCGCAAGTCTGGACAAGGTACAGTTGATCTGAAGCCTTCAACTGGAATTCAACTGGGGCGTGTGTCGAACTGTGCGAATTTGCTAGGCTTTGAAATACAGTGTCGGCAGCCCCGTTTGTCCTGCAGAGCACAACCTGCCCCTAAACCCTAAACCCTAGATAAACCCTGAACCCTATAGGCTCTATAAACCCTATAGGCCCTGTAAACCCTAAACCCTATAGGCCCTATAAACCCTATAGGCCCTATAATACCTATAGGCTATAAACCCCTAAGCCTAAAACCCTAAAGCCGGCTCTGCCCACTTTTCTGCTGAAGCAGAGACAGGCGAGAGCATTGGGGTTCAATAGGCCTCTTCGACTTAAGCGAGCATCCCATCTTCGGCGCTATATAGTCCTCTTCCTCCTCTTCCTGCTCCTCCTCCTCCTCCTCCTCCTCCTACTACTACTACTACTGCTACTACCACTCTCCTGCTCTGCTACTGCTACTGCTGCAACTACTACTGCTACCACTACCACTACCACTACCACTACCACTACCACTACCACTACCACTACCACTACCACTACTACTACTACTACTACTACTACTACTACTACTACTACTACTACTACTACTACTACTACTACTACTACTACTACTACTACTAGTCCTTGTGGTGCTAGAAGCTTTTCGTGCAGGCTCACGGAACCCAGGTTGGTCCGCCAACCCTGATTCCAAGCGCTCTTCAAGAAAGAAGATCCTCCTAGACTCAGACCCCTTACTGTCTGAACGGAAAGCTCTCGTCAGAGAGCCGAGTCATCTCAGTCTCAGGGAGAAACGCCACCTGCTTCAGTGGCAGTTTAGGGTTTTGGGATTCGGGTTGAGGGTTTTGGGAGGTTTTGACGGTGTGGCTTTGCGCCTTAAACCGACTCAAGCCGGAAACCCTGCTGGGACCCATTCTTGACACAATGTGGCGCTAAGTCTGAATGGGAACGGAATGAACCATTTGGTCTGCAACACACCCCCGAAAGAACGGAGGTTTGAGGTCTGAACATCATCAGCATCACCACCACCGAGATCGCCATCAGTGTCCTTGTCATCCTGATCCTGGCCATCGCCATGAACTTCCTCATCACGACATTCGCAACAATCGTCTTCGACATATCATCTATTCGCATCATCCCCGTCGTGCTTTACGTGCTCACCCCTGTCAAACAGCATCATCGCCACTGTCATCCCGATCATAGTCACCCCAATCAGCATGGCCGTCATCGTCCTCATCTCCCTCTCCTCTTTCCACTTCCCGGTCATCATCACAGTTAGCATAATGTTCAGCATAGTGGCATCATCGCCCTGGTCGTCATGATCGTGGCACTTTGTTCATTGCGATGCAGGCTCACAGACATCAAAAACAAAACCGAACACATCAAACGCTGCTGAAAGTCATCGTCATCGGCGGTATCTGTAATTCTCATCATCCTGCACATGACTTCCCGCTGTAATGTCCTCATGCCCTGCACTTCGATGCAAAACACCCTCAGCCCTTCGCCGCGCCTCCCTCCTGCGCAAAGTCTGCATCCTGCTCCATGCTGTCCATGCCCGACCTAAGAGCTCAATGTCTTCAATATGGTCAAAGAAGATGTCGCAAAGGGCGCTGCAGTGCTGCACAACTTCATCGAGGATTCCTGCCTGCTTTCTCTGTTACAAGCATGGTTGCCCTGGCGCTACCCCGGTGCTCCAAAAAGGGACTGCAGATCCCGGAATTCGACTGAACCACAGCACAGCTGATCGCGCTGCAGGGGCTTGAAACAACAGAGAGGTCGAAGAACACTGCCAAACATAGCATCCGACTACGAAAAGCGAGCACAGTAACAGGGAGAAAGACAGCCGCAATTTTGAGGGCCCTGGCGCCCAGCCCATGACCCGCGTCTCCGGGCCGTAGGTACGGAGCAGCGGCGACCTGATGCCGGACAAGCAGAATGGGGCCTGAGGGGGGGCTTAGGGCTTAGGGTGGATAGCACTGTCCTTAGAGTTTCCTACTTGTCGGATATCATGGGTAAGCTTTTTGGCTTTATAGGGAATATATAGGTACTATACTACCCAACAAAGGTTAAAGGTCACTTACTCTACTACTGGGGTTTTGAAGTTCAGACCTCCGGGTTGTCTGAGGGTTTGAGGCTCCAGGGCCCTAGGCCTCAAATCCTAAACTCTGCGTTTCCGAAAGTTTCGGGCTCAAGATGAACGGTACGAATCCGGCTTGTCGGTTTTCACCTCCGAGCGGCTGCAGCTGGCGGGGCAGCGAGTTCATCATCTAGGATACCCAGTAACCTAAGAATAAAAAGGCCTCTCTTTTGGGTATTGGGTTACTTTATAAGGAACCTAGGACTACAAAAAGGGAATAAGGGTACTACTGGGCATCCTAGTCATGTATGTATAAAAACCAGGGGTCTGGACCTGAAGCCTGAGTGATAAAACCCCTTGTGCAATCCTACATAAGCATACTGCAGCATACCCCACCCCCCCCCCCCCCCCGCCTCAAAAAAAAAAACAAGTAAAAACAAATAAACATGCCAGTGTGCGAGGACTGCCAAAATTCTTTCCATGGCTGGAATCGCCAGACCTTGCCTTGGCCCATGAGCCTTCAAATAGCAATACGAACATCACAACGCCGGCAGAAGCAATGACAGGAAAGATCCATGAGCACCAATAGAGAGGGCTGCTCAACCGCAGAGATTGTCTTCGGGATGATCCGGCAAAGCCCAACTTCCTCACATCCCCACCCCTTAACCCTAAACGCTAAACCCTGGCAAGCCCCGAATCTCTGCGCCTACGCCGGGGCTCCCGGCAGATTGTGTTCCGTCTGGCAGGGCTGAAGATACCACGCCACACCGCCTGGGGCTGTGGGGCTTTAAGGTTTTAAGGTTTAGGGTTTTAGGGCTTAGGGTTTAGGGTTTAAGGTTTAGGATTTTAGGGTTTAGGCTTTAGGCTTAAGGGTTTAGGGCTTAGGGTTTAAAAAGTGGCTGTTGTGGTGCCAAGCTCCTTGGAGCTCTTTGCCTTGTAAGCCCATGCGTGTCCGCCCTGTCAGAATCTACACAGCCTGCCCCAATCAACCACACGAAGCGTACATGGTGTCTGCACCACACTACATACTGAATATTGTATAGTAGATCGTAGATATATGGTTTACAGTATGAGGTACATCATCGCTAGGGCCGGTACTTGGCCATGGTACGACGCCGACGCCAAAATCCCGGACGTCGACAGAGGAGCCTCCCGTAAGAGCAAGGAGCCTACCGGCCGAATGTCTGTCTAACGTAAGGGTTTGGGTTTTGAATCTCGGGGGGGGCGGGTTTTAATTGCAAGGGCTTAGAGTTGGAGTCCCTATAACCAGAATGGAGATCGTGTCAAGTCCTTGGTCAGGGTTGGCTCAGCAGAGTCCAAAACTACAGGAACGGCCGCAAACGAAGTCTTCAGGTTTAGGGTTCAGAGTTTCGGCACTTGGGGCTTGGGCCTTGAGAGTTTGTCACTTCTAGGTTTCTGGCTTCGAAGTTTTCAGTAGCTTTGAAGTGAAAGATCACCTATCAGAGCTTCCAAGCCAAACTTTCCCAGCATCTGCAAAAAAAACAATGTCAAAAAAGAACGAAAACCCTGCTGTAATCACCTCTGTGTGTGTGTATGTATATAATATACACATACATATTCACATACCTATGTTCTTGTTTATAGGGCTACTATGAGGATATTACAGGGGTACTTTAACGGCAAAAAGGTTCCCATAGGTTGATTCGCCCTGAGAGCTACACCCTAAACTGAATCCTACAGCCTAAACCGCCCGAAATTCGTGTAACCACGCTGATGAGCCCTCAGGCACTCAAACCCCCAACCTCCAAGGTAGCAGGTTCTGCAGGCTTTGTCCTTGCCCCACGGTAGATACTACATACTCCTTCTTTCGCATCTTACAGTACTTTCTTCATGAGGACCCTGCCGTGACCACAAATGCTAAGTTCCCGATTGCCCGAAACCCTACCAAGCCCCAACGAAAACCCGACCCAAAACCCCCAAACCTGCAACCTAAACCCTAAAACCTTAAACTCAAGCACTTCAATGAAGCCTAAGCCCAAACCCAAAACCCAACCCAAAACCCCTAAACCCTCAAACCCTAAGCCTAAAGCCTCGAACTGCTTATCCTCAGCCTTGTGCAGTCGGTTCCTGCGCGGAGATAGCAGCATCCAGCCAGTCGGAGAGACCTGCATAAAGATTCTAGGGTTAATTTGCGGCGTGTGCGCTTCTTTAGAAATGGGGGTGCGCCCACTTATCGTGCGCTTGCGTTAGCGTGTAGTCCCGCCCCAACCACCCCCCCAAACCCCTTGAGGGGATTTTCTTGCTCTCTGCTTCCCTTCGAAGTTCTGCATAAAAAGAGCACATTTCCAAGCGAAGCACAGCTGAGATGGGAGAAGATGGATTGGCGTCGGGTTGTGGGTCCTGGCCGCTCGACGAGAAGCAAAGGCTTCCAACAAACAATTCGCATCACCAAACAGCTGAACTACCGCGGAGAGCACGGGTGGAGGCTAGGCTTTAGCTTTGGGGACCTTGCGGTCACCGTTGTAGTATCCCTTGTGGTCATCCTTCTACTAACCCCGATTTGACCCTGGGTCTGGCCCTTGTAGTGACCCCTCTCGAGATCGCACCGTCGTCAGTCGTCGTTGCAGTAGGGTTGATCGCTGCTGCGGCAGGAAGCTACTCGGCCGCAATGGAATCACTCACCATCGCACGCAATTTCGCACACCATCAACTCCCCTGACGCTTACTTAAACCCGAAACCAATCTTCGACCAACCCAGTAAGCCCGAAAACCTACATGGTAACCCAAAGCCCGCAGCCCAGACCTCCAACCGCACTTCCAAAACAAAAGAAGAAGGAATACCCGCAGCGGATTTGATGAGACACGAAATTTACGAAATCCCGGGCCGAGGTGTTGGGCCTGCAACCGAAGAATCTCCGGAGCATTTCAATCTATTGAATCGTGTGGGGCTACTGTAAGTGTAACTCTCATCATCACTATAATTGAGTGTCGGTATAAGTCCCTGACACACCAAAAGTCTGCATCAGACCACCCCAAAACCCCTAAACCCTTAACCCCTAAATCAGACCACCCCAAATCCAGCCACCCGGCTCCCGCAGACAAAAGGCGCCTCCAGTGATATCCTCCGCCTCGACCTGCGTTTCGACGAAGTGCCTCACCTCCTCGAGAAACCACGGCTGCAGCCACTCCTGGAACAAGTGGTTCTGGACAGGTCCGTAAGTTATGTTATGTTGGCTTTAAACCGCTCGTTGAATGGCTTCATAAAGGCTATATAGGGTTTCATGGGCTTGCTCTGGGGACTCATCGTCTTTGTCAGGATCACCGTTATCGTTGTCGATTGTGTGCGATTGTGTGCGATTGTGTGCGATTGTGTGCGATTGTGTGCGATTGCGCTGCGTGCAACACACCTGTGGAAGGGGTTGTAAAGGATTCACATGATTAAGAAACTCTGGTCCTATAACCCCAACATATTAGGATTTGTCTAACGAACCCGCATAAAGGCCCAAGGTTTCTTAATCAGGTTCCGAAATTGCTGATTTCGACACCGCATGCGGAGCTCGTTCAGGCTCGGTGGCTACATGTAAGTTGCCGAGCTGCTGCAGTCTTCGCTGCGTGAGGTGCTGTCCTGTGCAGCACGCATAAGGAAACACGGACCTCAAGACCAAGGATGTCCTGTTCGAGAGACCCACTATAGCATGCGATACTCCATACCGCGAAAAACACGGCCTTTCGGCCAATTTGTCAACCGAGGTCTCAGACCTCGGTAGGCTTCTCTGCCGCGGAGCCGGCGGGTCCCGATCCGGTAAGCAGCGTTGGGGCTTCCTCGGGCCTGAAGCGCTGGGAGTGCTCGCCGAAGGCGAGCGGCTTGCCGGAGTTCTCGTTCTTGCCGTAGGCGACCTCAACTTGTGGCACTCTCAAAAACCCAAATAAAGAAGGTAGCGTCACAAAGACCCAGAGCACTTTCCAGTCCCACATGTCCCCAGATATCTCTGAAGATGCTTCAGCATTGTGGAACCCTATCGGCAGGCCTCGGAGTGGCAATGGAGATCCACACCTTCCAGCGCCGCTTTAGACAGGTCTAGGGTTAGGGCGATGTGTGTCTGCATGCTTCCCTGTGCAAGTCATGTGAGCCCCTGTGCCTTCCAGCTCCTGCTCCTCGCTGACCCTCATGCGCATGACGAGGCGCATCAGGAAGAAGATCACCGCGGTCACGGCAGCGGAATATACCACGCCGAAGGCTGCGCCGGCCAAGTTCTTCGCCAGCAGCAGCCCGTCGCCCCCGTAGATGAGGCCGTCACCTGTGTCGAAGAAGCCGCCAAGAATGGCACCTGCGAAGCCTCCTACACCATGGAGAGAGAAGCAGTCCAGTGAGTCGTCCACCAGGTTCAGCTTCTTCAACCCACGAGCTGCGAAGACGCAGCAGATGGCTCCAATGGCGCCAACGCCAAGAGCGCCCAGCGGCTCCACGAAGCCGGCGCACGGGGTGATGTTCACCTTACCACCCGAAGCACAAGGAATTCATGGACTTCTACTCTACCAGATGGTGAGTAACCCGAAAAATTCAAGGATGTCGCTTTGGGTCGGCATAGAGACTTATGGAAACTTAGTGAGGCCATGGACAGGCAAGTAGCGAGTCCAGCCACTGCGCCTGACATGGCGCCCACAGATGTGGGAGCTCCATCGAGGATGCGCTCGACGGAGACCCATGTGATCATGGCGGCGGCCGCCGCAACATACGTGGTGGCGATGGCCAGGGCACAGTCGCCGTTAGCGGCGAAGGCGGAACCACCGTTGAAGCCGGTCCATCCCAGCCAAAGGATACCTCCGCCCAAGATGACGAAAGGCAGGTTGCTGGGGAAGGACTCGGCACGATGCTTGCGTTCCCCCAGCAGTGATGCCAGAGCAATCGCCGAGGTGCCCGAGCTGATGTGAACGACAGTTCCACCGGCAAAGTCCTCAGAACGTGCAATTTTGGTAACAGCCCCATGAGGCATGACCAAGGTCGAATTGAGGGAAAAGAACGAACAGTCAATAGCAGCAGGCAGCTACCGGGTATATGATGGTCTATGCTAATTATCCGATTCGGCAGACTCGCAGTCCTTGGCCCCCATCTCGGCAATCCAACCGCCGCCCCAGATCCAGTGGCAGAGGGGCACGTACACTGCAAGGACCCAGGCCACGATGAAGATAGCGTAAGCCGAGAAGCGGATGCGCTCGACCACGGCCCCAGAGATGATAGCAGCCGCTATGATAGCGAAGGTCCTTACAATTATACGTTTACTTCGAAGAAACTGCAAGCTGTCATGACGCAGCCCCACTATGCTTCTTGGATTCTAGATTCACGCCAAGGGTCATCTGAAAGACTGCAAAGGTCATTCCTGGCATGGTGGTTCCGGACCACACCGCATCGAGGTTGCGGAAGCCCACATAGGTAAAGCCCTTGCCTGCACCCCACTCGTCAAAGGACCAGGTAAATCCGAAGATCAGCCAAGTGATGGTGGTAAGCCCCATTGAGATGATGCTCATCATCATCGTGTTGACGATATTACTGTCTCGCACCAGGCCGCCATAAAAGAATGCTAGCCCAGGCGTCATGAACAGAACCAATGCACAGGACATGGCCATCCACGCGGTGTCGCCGTTGTTGAGGCCCTCCATGCTTCCCAAAGGCTTCCTACCAGGCTTCTACTTCTACCTTTGAAGTTGCTGCGCGGCGCCCTTCAGCCAAGCGGCAGCCAAGCTCCGCTGTATCGCGCGCTAGAGCGCCTAATCTCTGCATCCTCAGCCATTCATCCCAATCCCTTAACCCTAAACCCTAAACCCTCATCTCTGAGCTGAAGCTTGCGTTGCTCCTCTCTCCAAGGCCACACCGCTGCAGCGGCGAAGGCTGCACCTTCAGTCTTTCGAAGGCTGCATGGAACGCTTCGGCTTGGGGGTTCAGGGTTTATGGGTTTAAGTGCTTAGCATTTTGCAGGGGTAAAGGGTTTAAGGGTTTAGGGTTTTGCACGGGTACAGGGTCTAGGGTTTAAGGGCTTAGATTGGTTGTCCGTCTCCGAGTCAGTAGGACTTGTGCTTTTCTCGGGGGTCCTTGTTGCAACAGGGATCTTGACTTTTGTTATCCGTACTCTCCTTGGGAACTCGCAGCTTGCTGAAGCATCTACTTGGAGGATCATGGGACTTAGTAAGTAAGGTTATAAGTACCCTAATTGGGGTTATAAGTATAGTTACCCTAATTATAACCCTAGTTACTAAGTCCCATGATCCTTTAAGTACTGGAGCTTGGGCGGAAGATCTATCAAGAAGGAGCTCCCTCCACCAAATCCGGAGTGCTCGGGTTAAGTGAACTGTAGATGCCATTATCATTACAGTGATGAGTGTTGCTCATATGACTAATGTGGCACCTCATAGTTTACCTGATTTCCTGGAGGAATAGAAAAGGATGGATCTGAGAAGTACTGGTATGAAATCAGTTTGGGGAGCCGGTTCCTTAAAGAGTTGACCGGTTTCTATGTACGGGTTCCTTGCGCGGAAGCTGGGCTTCGTTGGTTCCTTGGGTAAACCCTGTACAACACCTGAAAAAGCCTCATTGAAAGGATAGAGTCCAGAACAAATACAAGCAGGGTGCGAAGATGCCGTGATGTGAATATCACTGCACGGAAACATGCTGAGTACAAACTTTTCCAGCTATACAATCTTGAAGGCCATGCAGTATGATCACAAACAACCCCGCACAGAGACAAATTCCAAAGACACCACAATGACGCTAGTAGAGCCTTTGGTCTTTGCGATCACCAAATGGCCTCACCTTCAGGCATGCTTGCTCAAACTTGACATTCTCCTTCTTCCAAATGCCAAGCTGTACGATTGAGATGATGTGCGGAGAAACTATACTGAACTTAGAACCCTAGCAAAAATTACAATTTTAGCTGTTGCTTAGGGATTATAAGAAACCAAAAAGTAAAAATTATTACTATTGAAAGTCAATCCAGCACTGAAAGATCAGGCCAAGACTACAAGACACGAAACCCTAAACACACAGCTCCTGGCCCTGGAACCAGAAACTTAAAACCTCCCTGACTCCAGCTCTTAAAACACCTCGGCCTGTCACTCTGGTGCCGCTCCCTAATGCAAGACCACCCAAGTAATTCTGAAAACCTCAATCCCGACACCCCGAGCCCTAGCCTAAACCCTGAACCATACAGACCTCTGAAATTACTACCACACATCCCAAACCCTAAACCCTAGACCGTACAGACCTATCTAGCACAGCCCTAAACCTTAAACCCTAAACCCGAAGCCCTAAGCTCTTATAAACCCTAAACCCTAAAACCCCAAACCCCAAAACCCTAAACCCAGCCCCAAATCCTCCCCGACGTAGAAGCGTCTTGCACCCCAGCGGCAGCGGCTGAATCCCGAGCCCAACTGCTCCGCCTTGCGGACCTCGACCAAGGCTGAGGTTAAGGGGGATTTGGGATTTGAAGGATTTAGGGTTTCGGGATTTAGGGTCTAGGGTCTAGAGTTTGGGGTTTGGGATTTAGAGTTTAGAGTTTAGGGCTGAATACTAGCACTGCCGAGACAAGCTACAGCCCATCGGAACATGCGTACCCTTTTGCCGGACTCGTTCTGAGAGGCTTTGGTGCAACTGAAACATTTGCTCAGCTACGGGGCCATTCTCGTCCTGCTTGATCGAAGGGAGCCGAATGGGTCGCCAAAACTCTGTAATTCTATCAAAACTGATTGCTGGCAGGTCTAAAAGAAGGCTGTACACGTCTCGTGCCGTTTACAAAGCACCCACTTGCTGCAGAATAATATACACGGATCCAAGCACACTGTGCAAAGTGGAAACAACTGCCAAAGCACGCAGACCCAGGCGTTGCCACAGGCACATCCCATGCCCCCAAATCTGCAACATAGCGGTACAAGGGAAAATGAGGCACACGGCGTTGGCAGGCAGGATTCCTACCAGATCCCCAATGAAAGCCACGCCATCCTTCAAGAGTACCGCAGTGACGCCAGAAATGCTCACGACAACGGCTTTCATGAGGATGCGACCTTTCCACTGCAGCATCTCCCCGAAGAGATCACCAGTGGCATCCAGCACGAGAGGCGGAGTCATCAGCTGTTTTGTGCTTAGGCCCACTATTGTGATGGCACCTAGGCAGATGTGCCATCTTTCTGGAAGCAGCTGAAGGTCCAAGTCGCGACCGATGTTCACAACAATGGACTGCTCAACACTGCTGCCGAAGAACAGGTACCCCAATCCACCGAAGAGTAAGAGGAAAGTCTCAGCAACGCTCATGCTGTAGATCACCGCCTTGGTCCACTTTGTGCAGTCTGCCATCATCTGGTAAATAAGGGGTGCCTCGCTGTGAGCGAGGAAGCAGAGAAGAGCAATGCCAACGGCGGGTGGAATGCCTGCGGCTTTCAACAGTAGCTGGTCTGATGCCGCTCCTGTGATGAAGGACAGCTCGATACCTGTAACAAGAATGCCCGCAACTAGAATGACCTGAGACGCAATCCTAACACAGCCATTGCTGAGAAAAACCTTTTTGGGAGAAGGCAGCAGCCGAAGGCCGCGAGACAGCAAAGTACAGCGACCAATTCGTGTTCGAGAGGTAGGAGGAAAGGGAGCTGCTCTGCCGCAACGCTCAACAAGAACAGGGCAGATCCAATCAGATCAACGAACATGCAGCCGGCAAAGGCCACGCGGCCAACGTCCCCAAAAGCTGCGAAGCCGATAAGACTCCAGTCGCGCTGCGACCGGGGTATGCCCATCTGCTCTGCGTGTCCATCAAGCGACTCAAGCAGGAAGCCCATGATCCACAATGTGAAGCCCATTAGACAGCCCACAGCAAGGAGCAGCGGTCCGAAGCACCATCCCGAGAGCTGGAATGCATACGGCAGCAGAACGCTGCTGCCGCCTACAAGCACATTCGACAAGGTGGCAATGGTTCCGGGCAGCGACATGCCCGGGCTCTTCGACTCTGCACGTTTCATCATGTCGACCTCACCTTTCTCGACTTCGATCGCATCCGGAATGCCGGACATCTGTGTACGGCTGTGTCCTGAAACCGCAAGTAGGCAGTGTCGTCTTAAGCCACAAAATGCTGTTCACAGCAGGGAGTTGACAGAACATGCAGAAAGCAGCAACACCTGCAACATGGGTGACTGGGAAATGGTGGTGGGTTTTCTGAGAGAAGAGGGATGGGTCCGCGTGGGTACCGAATGAACACAGCGGGGTTGCTGACAGGAGGGGTGTCCTGCAAGCTTCAGCAGATGCATGCCGAAATCCTGGTTGAGACCCCATACAGCCCCCAAAAGCCCCAACGGTCAAGAGCAGTCATGACTAGGGGAATGCAAGATGACTGTCAATGCAGATATGCCGGTGACACGCAAGCGACAAGCGAAGAACCTCAACCGTGACTCTTGAGAGAGGGAGGTTACACGAAAGTTCTAAGTGCATAAAACAACCAACTTGTAAGAATTCAAGCAAGACTCGCTGCTTTACGAAATGCTTCGGACCTACATGACATCGAAAGATCGCTCATTGGTTCTTATCAGTGTTACATGCTGAGGCAAGAAAGCATGTGTCCGCCAGCTTTTAGCTTAAACCGTGTTTGCTTGACATCTACCACCCGGCTATTCCCTCCTATACATAGTTTGCTGGTATGATGACTAATATGCCAACAATATTCGAACAACGTACTGTCCAAGTTTTGCATATTGCATGTCACTCTTGACTACTTGGTGTGAAATTAGATATTTCTGCCATCTGATTCTCATTGAACTAGACGGTAGTCGCTATCTACAAACGAACTAGTACTTAACTGCTATGTCGTGAATGCCAGCATCTAACAAATATTGAATGTTCATGGATATTACCTGAATACTGCCTGACATGTGGCTAGAGCGGCATTCACGCATGGGGCAACCTGAAAACAGCCGCTTAACTGGATAGTACTTGGAGGTTCATGGGTAGTTATAAGTGGGGTTATTAGTCCCCTAATATGGGTTATAAGTATAGTTACCTTACGTATAACCCTCTTATATCTACCCATGAACCTCCAAGAGAATCGATAACAGATGTCCTAAACCGTCGGCTCCGTGGCTTTGGCGCTTGATGTGGGAGTTGGTGACTCGACTCCGAGCGGCACGCGACTCGAAGCAGCCTAAACCCCAGCCCTGAGCCCCTAAGCCCTGGTAGGGTGTCGGTTGAGATTTTGGAGTTCAGGGCTTGGGTCTTTGCTTGGGGCTAAAGGGCCACTCCAAAAAGAGTGTCTTTTCCCAAGGAGTTGAACTGCTGGGGCTGCTGCGATCTCCCGCTGCTGCACGCGTATGAGGGTGCTGAAGCCTCTAAGGCAAGGAGCAGGGTCCCAGGGCTAGGGTCCAGGAAGGTCTTGGGTTCCCTTCAAGGGCTCATAGGAAGGTTCTTAAAGGTTCCGGAAAGGTTTCAGAGATAAGGGCTTCAATTGAAGATTCAGATGGCTTTAGAGTTTGGAATTTTGGGTTTGAGGGTTTAGGGTCTAGTTTTCGCTTCCCTAAACTTTCCCTAAACCCCTAAACGCTGAACCTCTAAACCCCTAAACCCAGAGTTTGGGGCCTAGAAGCTTCAACTGCAAGTTCGGGCCGGGCTTGTGGCTCGAGGAACCGTGAAGTTTCATGCTTCGGGGTGCAGGGTCATAAATCAATATAGTGCATATGTAAATTATATATATATATATATATATATATATCTATATATATATATATATATATATATATATATATATATATGTATGTATGTATGTATATAGTATGTGTATATATATATATATATATATATATATATATATATATATATATATATATATATTTATGTATTTATTTATAAGGGGCACTATGCAATAGATGGTATATACCATAGATAACAGAGAGCAGATAGCAGATAACATAACATGCATCATATGTAATGTATAATATGTACTAGTCAATATATACTGTCTAGTATATAATAGTAATGTATGGCACCTATAACAAATAATGACAGTTATACAACATCTACTAAATAGACATATACACACAAATATATGCTAGTCATTGTATGTAACCGAGGCTTCAGTCTTTAAGACTCGAGATGCTGATCACGCGACTGGCCTGTGTTGGGCCGACTAAACTATCGTGCCCATTTAAGGGTTTAGGGTCTACGGGTTCCAGAAAGACCGACGGTGCTGAATACTTGTGGTCTCTCTCTCAGAAGCAACTCGAGGGGAAGGAACTCGCCTACAGTGGCCTATAGGTTCCATAGGTTCGTGTAAGGGAACGTACCATCACTTCGGACATCTTGGCTCCACCCTAGCCAACATGTCCGCAGTCAGAAGGCAGGAAAGCACCCCAAACCGAACCCCAACAGTTGGATTCTACATTCAATGTTCCTCTCCCCAAACCCAGAACCTAAGCCCAAAACCCTGACACGCTGAACCTAAGCCACCTGAGCCACACCCTCAACTTGGCCCTAAACCAATTCTCTGCAACGTAGATGGAGGCTGATTCCACAGAGATCCTACGAAACTCGTCGAAAACAGCTCCATCAGAACACCGAGCGTAGAGCCCCAATGCAATAAGCACAACACAGCACTTCCACTCGTTGCTCCTAAACCGTCCGAAGGCCCACGCCTAAGAGCTCGAGCTTCGCCTGGCAAGGACTTTCTTTGGGCGCAATATAGGGTGCTTAACATATATATATATATATATATATGTACATAATAAATAATTAGAATAGGGTTTTGGGGCACATTATACTAAAATTGTAATAAGGAACCCCCAAAATAGTATAGGTAGTTATTAAGGCCCCTATTGGGATTGAGGGTTCAGGGTTCAGGGCGGGGCGGACTGTCGCTAGATAGAAGGAACTGAAACTTCAGTTACCGGTTCGAGCATTCCAGAGTATAGAATAAGTTATCCAGTTCGGATATGTGCTGCATCAAAAGATGTTCTGCGCAGTGGAATCAGGCATTTGGGAGCTGAAAATTGCGGCTTCAAGGTTTGGGGTCTGTTTCTGGTCGGCCTCGGGAGCGCGCACTGCCAGGGCCAAGAGAAGCTGGGCCATCATCTCCTGGAAATGTAGAGGGTTCGGGGTTCGAGGTTTAGGGCTCGCAGGATTTAGTGTTGAGAGTGTAGGGTGGACTGACTGAGTTGTTTCGGGCCATAAATTCTGGCACATTTGTGCGCAACTAGCAGTAGCAAAACAAACGTCAGCCATCATCACCTCAACCATCCTCTTCCGCATCATCATCCGCTTCCTCATCATCATCATCATCATCATCATGATAATGATGATGGTGGTCCTGGTCGTCGACGACGAGGACGTACTTCTGGTAGAAGCGAGCAATTATCGGTAGCACTACCAGCAGCAGTAGCAGAAGCGGCAGGAAGAGTAGTACTAGTAGCAGTAGCAGTGGCAGTAGTTAGTAGTTAGTAGTTAGTAGTTAGTAGTTAGTAGTTAGTAGTTAGTAGTTAGTAGTTAATAGTTAGTAGTTAGTAGTTAGTAGTTAGTAGTTAGTAGTTAGTAGTTAGTAGTTAGTAGTTAGTAGTTAGTAGTGAGTAGTGAGTAGTGAAAAGTGAGTAGTAGTAGTAGTAGTAGTAGTAGTAGTAGTAGTAGTAGTAGTAGTAGTAGTAGTAGTAGTAGTAGTAGTAGTAGTAGTAGTAGTAGTAGTAGTAGTAGTAGTAGTAGTAGTAGTAGTAGTAGTAGTAGTAGTAGTAGTAGTAGTAGTAGTAGTAGTAGTAGTAGTAGTAGTAGTAGTAGTAGTAGTAGTAGTAGTCGTAGTAGTAGTAGTAGTAGCAGTAGCAGTAGCAGTAGCAGTAGCAGGAGCAGGAGCAGGAGCAGGAGCAGGAGCAGGAGCAGGAGCAGGAGCAGGAGCAGGAGCAGGAGCAGGAGCAGGAGCAGGAGCAGTAGCAGTAGCAGTAGCAGTAGCAGTAGTGGTGGGCATCAACTTTCTCCAGGATTCAGTTGGCATGACGATTGTATTGACACATGTGAGTGCGTATGGCGGCTCTGCTGTCCATCTCCACCCGCAGGCCCCGCGGAATTATCCTGGGATGAGATAGCGAGGGCTGGGGCATGCCGAGCAAGTGCAGTCAAAGCCGTATGAGCAGGTTTCTGTTTGCAAACACTACTCGTTTCTCTTGCCAGCCTGTTCTTACCGGCCGCTGCCAGCATATTGAGAGCTGCTTCTGTGTAGTTCCCTACGGCTATCCACATACCGGCATGTCCCCACAATCAGATGATGCGATAACATTGGTAGGGTGGAAGAAGAGAAGTATGGCTTATCGGGATCGAAGGGTGCGAAGGACCATGAGACACGTAGGTGGTGCCGGAGATGGTGACGGTGCCGGTCGAGATCGTTTGGGGGCTGTCAGAATGATTCTGCGATGACGATAATTAATGGTGCTGACAAACTGCTGGTGCTCATGACGCTGGCGCTGGTGAAGATGTTGACTAAGGCCGAGTGGTGCTTTCGTTACATACGTGATTCAAGACTAGTGCCTGGCCAAGCGTCTGCAACATGTGATAGGCCATCAGGCTCGTGGCTTCCACCAGAGCAGCTTCAGCTTCAGTAGGGTCGGACCTGAAGTTCTGCTTTGGTCCAAGACTTCCGGCTTCGGAGTTTCAGCACCGATGTAGGCGGTTCAGTAAGCTCTGAAGTTAACGGTGTCGAATGTCGATGGCCGGAGGCTTCAGCACTGTCATCATCTTCATCATCACCGCTATCATCGTCCTCACTCATCATCCTCATCTTCATCACTGATATTGCCTGTCGCCATCCTGCCTCGTGTTGGCATGAAGCGGAGCAAACATATTCATTCATGCACTCCACATACGCCTGGCCTTGTGGTATAGAAAAAACTTCGCTTATGTGTGCTGTAAACGTCATGCACAACCCTTAAACTGAACGGTAAACCCTGGACCCAAAACGCCCCAAAACATAGCCGTAGGGAGGGAGGGAGATGATTTAGAATGCAACCGATACCGCACTGATGCCTCAAACGGCAGCAGCTTCTGAAACAAGCCAATCACTTGAGGAGCCTCATCATGGCCCTTGTAGGCGAAGGGTTTCGCTACCGGGTTTAGGGTCTAGGGTCTACTTAAACCCCGAAGCCCTTCAACAACAACACAAAAGATTCCAAGAGTTTCTGCACCAGCTGGGCGCCGCGACGCGCTCTGAGCAGCATCTTCACTTGCCTGTTGCCACTGTTGAACTGTTGTGATCTTTCGAATGCTTTTCGTACATGGTGATGCTGGTGGCGGTAGTAGTAGTAGTAGTAGTAGTAGTAGTAGTAGTAGTAGTAGTAGTAGTAGTAGTAGTAGTAGTAGTAGTAGTAGTAGTAGTAGTAGCGGTAGTAGTAGCAGTAGTAGCAGTAGTAGTAGTAGTAGTAGTAGTAGTAGTAGTAGTAGTCAACCGTATGCTCCGCTGTCTCCGCGTATCCAGACTCCGTTCAGGCCCTACAGAGCAGGACCGCAAAAAAATGCATCCTACTGTTAGTACAGGGCCTTGATAATTGGAACAGGGTTTTGGGGTCCATTATGCTATACTCACAATGATTTAGGCCCCTATATCATTATGAGACTTTGGGACATTGATTGAACAACCCCAATATTGTCAAACACCGGCTTCCCCGCTTGACATACGAAGACTGTTCCCAAGCCCCACCGTCACAGAGAACTGCCCTAACCTTTTCCAGCTGACCCCATACGAGCAAAATCCTCCATAAGAGCCCGGATAAAAGCCCTATTCAGCCCTATTCGAAAACAAACTATGAGGCTAGGCCCCCCCTGTGGCTGGCCACAAGGTCGAGGGCAACAGCGCTGAAGAAGGACTTGGTCAGATAGATCGGAGGAAGATCGTGGATGTCCTGGCAAGCTTGGGTCCAAGCACAGGGGCCCTCAATAATAGGAATAGGCTTTCAAGGGACCATCACGGGACGTCCTGGCAAGTTTGGGCTTCGGGCCCAATCAAGGATAGCCTAGTATCGTATATCGTAGTATATTAGATTATTTTATAGTACATGAAAGTATATTATAGTATATATAAGTAGGTTTAAATGGGCTTAGGGCTCAGGGTTTTGGGGTTGGGGGATGGTGTTCGCAGAGTCTTTGGACTGCGCGTGCAAATGGGATCAAGGAGCCGATCCCAGAGACTCCAATACCCCTTCATTAGGGAATATTCCTTAAATCATATTAGAGATCCTACCATAATTTAAGGAATATTCCTTAACTAAGGGATAATGGAGTCTCTAGGATCCATAAAGACCAGTGTATCCCCAGATAGCGATCAAGCTTGAACCCGGGGTCTGAAAACGAGGAGGGCACTGAAATAGACTTCTTATATATATATATATATATACTATAATATACTATCATGTACTATAAAATAATCGAATATACTATGATATACTATAATATACTATCCTTGACTACAAGAAGTTCGGCAGTACAGCTTGCTTCCCTTTGCTATGCTTTCCCATTCTGTCCACCAGTCGTCCCCCAAAGGATGCAACAGCAGTGCAAACTCGCCTTCGGCAATGGATTTAGAGCTCAGGGCTGGGACCGTTCCAGAAGGGTTTAGGGTTTAGGGTTTAGGAGCTAAACACACCACAACCACATGGGACTCCCAGTACTGACTTCAGGGCAGAGGTAATGTAGGGACCTTAATAGTCAGAATGGGGTTCCGGGGGTTCCTTATTATGATTATCTTTTAATATGCCGCCAAGCCCTATTCTAATAAGGCCCCTATATTATTACTATTAATATTATTGCTATTTTTATTGGTATTATTATTACAGTGAATCCTCGACGCGTCGAGTCCCCGGCCTTCGAAATCGCCTGGCAGATGAGCAGGATCAGCTCCTGATTCACGCTGCAGCCTGAAAGGTCCCCTTATAGTAACCCTTTTAAGGATCCCTTTAAAGGAACCCTGTTCTAATGTTTAAGCTTCACGCTGCAGGCTTCATATCAGCGCCTCAAACATAACAAGACGAGGATTCTTGGCAGGATACGCTGGTGTAGTCCAAATAGTGACAGACAGGGAAAGCCATGGTCAACTATCCAGGCACAAATGGTATCCATCGCCAGCTGCCACTGCTACTGCTACTATAGCAAGCTTTGCCACGGTGTTAACATTGCTTTGAATAGTACCTTGCGACAGGTCGCAAATTGCATAGTATGAGCGTGATGCTTGTGGCCACTACTTCTGCGACTACTGCTGCCACAAGTCATGCTATTACTGTTGCCATTGGTTTTAGATGTTCATGTGACCTGGGGCGGCAACAACTCGAAGTAAAAGAAAGAAACATATCAACATGAGCATAATGATACAAACCAGTAATCATCACAAACCGTTTCATGATCATAATCATGATAATGATAGTAGTAGGAATTTCACAGTAATCGTCATCAAAAAGGGAGAAGAAGATTACTAATAACAATAACAGTAGTAGAAATAGAAATGGGATACAGATAATCGTAATATGTCGCAAAAAATGGTAGTAATGACAGGCATTTGCAGTCCACACGCAACTATACGATGAGATACCCGAAAACCCAATTATCAAGGCAGCTATGTTAAACACTGTAACCAAAAAGACTTATACGACAATCGTACACGCCCTGACAAGCAAACAACCCCTTTCCACGAAACTTATAAAGCCTAAACCCCACTACAACCTGTATCCTAAACCCTGCTACACCCTAAAGCGCATAAGGCTCGATCCTAAACCTTGCTCATCTCCACCCTGCTACACCCTAAAGCCCATAAGGCTCGATCCTAAATCTTGCTCATCTCCTGGCGTGGAAGATCTGCCCGGGGAGGCAGTGTTGCGATGCCCAGCAGCATCTTGGGCGCCTCCGAAATCTGCTTTGGGTTTAGGGTTTAGGGTTTAGGGTTTAGGATTCAGGATTCAAGGTTCAGGGTTTAGGGTTTTGGCCTCAGGAGTTTGGGTTATGATTTTGGTCTTCACGATGCTTCAAGTTTGGATTTCAAGCTTCAGGGTGTAAAGCTGTGTTGCGAACTCAGTTCGAGCAGGGATTATTTGAGGTTTCTAGCTCCAGGTAGAAGGCTTTGGAGTTCCAGGGCATCATGTTTTCCTTTGTGGCTCCACCGATGGCCGTTGCTAGTACGCACGGCTCGCCTTCTTCGCATCCCTGTTGCCCTGACGAGGTTGTGTCCTTCTTAGTTGAGCCAAGACCCCGGCATCAGCTACCGAGGAAGTTGAGGGAGGAAGGATACAAGACTCCTCCACGGAGCCCATAATCAATCCAAACCCTAGAATCCCAAACTCGTTACGCCCAAGAACTGTAAACCCTACTAGCCTAGAGACCCTGGACCCTGCAAGCCCGAAACCCTATCAACCACGCAGCTCAGAAACCCTCAACCCTACAAACCCTAAACCAGAGAAGCCCGAAACCCTATCAACCATCAGCCTTACAAGCCCCCAACCCTGAACCCTAGAAAGGCTCATTGTATATGTATATATATATATATATATACATGTACATATATACATATACATATATTATATACAGAGCAAGAGAGAGAGAGAGAGAGAGAGAGAGAGAGAGAGAGAGAAAAAAGAAAAGGTGTTCTCCCAAGATCACCAGCCTCGACGTTGCCCCAATCATCCGGCCCTTGGGCTACGGGCATTTATGGATTAGGACATATGGGAGTTTCCGAAAATTAGGAGTACCTTATTTTGGGGTCCTTATAACAAGGATCCTACTATTTAGGGTACTATATTAGGGTCCCCTACTTCCGGAAACTCCCATATAGTGTTCGTAGTACAATACAGTAGAGTATAGCATGGTATAGTACAGTATACCAGAACACACTATGCTACACTGCATTAGGCTATGCAATACTGCACTATACTGCACGATGCCACACCATACTATACCATACTATAACTCACTTTTTTGTTCTAAACAATACTTTGCTGCTCTATACGATCTTATTCTTTCGTGTAGCGCAGGATCGAGAAGCTGAACCAATATACATACGTACGTACATACATACACGCACATAAACATCTGTATACAAACACAACATACACATACATACATGTAAAACCACATTACTTTATCTGTATATTGACATGAAGTTTACGGTATTCGGGTTTAGGTTTTGGGTGGTGGTGTGCTTGGTGTTTACGGCTGCTTTCATATCGGTCAGTTGATCTTGCAACATCGACAACTCCGGCTTTGCGAAGTGAAATGAGCTCTCTGGGGAGCTGACGTTAAACAAAACCTGCAGCCCGCATAGTATCAATAAATCGGGACACCAATGGGATAGCCTTAGTAACTCTTCCAACCGATCTGTTAATCCTTCAGAGAGCCACAAGGCGGGGCAGGGATCTTCGTCGTCATTGCACTTCGTACCATGAAAGTCAAACAGTAATTTTTTGGAATAGTAAATAGTAGTCTCCATCCTTGTCCTCTCATAACGTGCCATCTCGTGCAAAAAAGGTGGAGGGAAGTCAGAGAGAAAGCTAGCGAGACGGAGAAAGGGACATTGAACTAAGCCACACAGCCGAAAGCCCCTTGAAGCCTAAACCCAAGACCGTAGACCCCAAAACCCTAAACCCAAGACCCTAAACCCCAAATCCCAAATCCCCTAAAACCCAAGAGCGTAGACCCTTGCCCTACCGGTCGAAAACTCAGCAGATTGCTGAGAAGGGTCTTCGACCCCATAGCTCAGAAGCCTGGGGTTTTAGTTAGATTAGACTGGACCTAAGAGTAACCTCGGAATAGAAAGGGTGCCCTTTTTGGTTCAAAGGGGGCTATAAGGGAACCTGAACCCTAAAAAAGGGAATCAGGGCTTACTTTGGGTCCAAGTACATGACTAGATGTGGAGAGAGCTTCTAGTTTCATATAGCGTAGCAGGCGACGTGGGACAGTCTCTTTAAAACTGCCGCAAGCAGGCCGGCCCAGACGAGAAACCTGCGTCTCTATCACCCAAAACCCTAAACCAAAACCCTAAACCCTAAACCAAAACCCTAAACCCTAAACCCTAAACGACCAGAAAAACGGATCGAGCTGTATTGGGATTCGTGTTGAGGCCAAGGCAAGGTGCTTCTGGTAGCCACCACGGGGTGCAGCTACGCAAGTGCTTCAAGAAGAACCCCGAACCTAATTTAGGGGCCTTAGTAATTTGAACAAGGATTTGGGGGTACGTTATAGCAATAATTTGAGCCATGATATAATCCCCCTAACTTAAAGGGAACTCCAGAAAGTTGGAATATGGTTTCAGGGTAGGATACCTTATAATTTACCATAAAGGGTTTAGGGTAATCATATTCCAACTTTCTGGCTTTCGCCTTAACTGAACCTGCTGAAGCCGAAGCATGCGGTCCCAGTATCGCCGCTGCAGTTCCAGCGCGGCCGCGCGAAACAATTCCACCACGGAGCCATCCTAGCGGGCTTTCAGAGAACTGCGCTAAACTGTAACCCTAAGGCCCTAAACGATGAGACCGTAATCCCTGAAACCCTAAACCCGACACCGTAAACCCTAGACCCTCTCAGCTTTGAACTGGGGCTTAAGCTTTTAGAGTTGGCTTCGTTCTTGAGACTCTTGAGGATTTTGAGTAGCAGATGGGTTCAAGGTTCAGGCGTGGGGCTCTGAGGTTGGGATAGGTGTCAGGGTTTGGGGTTTACAGTACAGGTTCGCGAACCAAAGAGCCGCAAATGGCGGAATCCTTCATCTCACGACCCCCACTTAAAGGATCATGGGACTTAGTAACTAGGGATAATTAGGGTAACTATACTTATAACCCCAATTACGGTACTTATAACCTTACCCCCTAAGTCCCACGATCCTCCAAACAATGGTGGTCTCCCGTAGTTTGGCTACCCCTTGGGCCGATCCGAGAAAAGTATTCAACGCCTTTCAGTAAGGAATATCAATGAAATCGGCGCAGGGCTTCTCACTTTGACTTCAAGCAGACGCCTTGTCTCAAGGCTAAGAAGTCAACCGGAAACGTGGTCAACAAGTGAAGGGCGCCAGTGGTGACACTCCCGCAGACATCCGACTCGCTCTGAACCCTAAACCATAACCACCCAAGCCGCAAACCCCAAAACCCCAAGGACTGAACCTTAGAACCGTGGAACCCAGCAAGAACCTTTCAAAAACCCGACCTCGACCGTCTCACCCGTTCCCTTGAGGAGGAGGTAGGGAATGGCCCCTGTGGGACGGGTGGGGCTTCTGGAGCCAGGAGATTGGGGCTGTTTAGGGTTTAGGGTTTAGGGGTGCTTGAAGGAAGGTCTCATGGTGGTTTAGCGCCTAAGGTTTTGAGCTTGAGCTTTTGAGTCTTGATTTGCGCTTGAGTCTGGGTTTAGAGCTTGGCTTTTGCGGCTTCTGTTCAAGGCTCTAGGCTTTGAGTTCCAAGCTGTTGGCTTTTCAGGGCCTGAAATTCGGGTGCTTAGGGTCTCAGCTTTACGGTTTACGGCCCTGTTCCGCTGAGCCTGCTTTAAAATACTTGCAGAGGTCCAAGATGTATTGTTCGGGGTGAGCCGCTGAGGCCGGAATCAGCAGGTATACCTCCGAAAACTACCCCCAACATCCACTCCAAAAGCTGCAAATCGGCAAAGAGTTTAGACACATCCAACAAAATTCGGAGTGCCCCAATAGCCCGAAACGCATGGCCGCAGAGAGAATGGCAGCTCAAAGGAACCCGGCCTATGACATCAGCCTCGGCATGTGGAACAGATCAGGAACTCCCGATGTGAGGCAGTATCTAGACTTAGCCACGCCAGCGCCTCGTGTACGGGCTAAACAGCTCCAGGCTCTCAGGGTTTTACCTACAGTTCGTGCTTTGGTGCTTACGGCCATTGCGGTCTCACTATCGTTTTGAATAACAGCGACGACTGCGAGAATGGTAGGAAACTAAACAGCAGGGATCCCATGACTATGATGATAGTGCTAGTACGATCATGATGATCAATGGGGCGCCACTAGTGCAGACGACAGAAATCATGACTGTCATGATGAGTCTACTCACAACGGCACAATAGAAAGACACTCAGTGATGAAGCCGAAACCCTTTCTGTAGAGGCCTTATAGAACCCTTATAAGGAACCCTTCAAAGGAACCCTTATAGAACCCTCATAGACCTTATAGAACCCTTATAAGGAACCCTTAAAGAACCCTCATAGACCTTATAGAACCCTTATAAGGAACCCTTTTAAAGGAAGCCTATTGAAATTACTAAAGCCGCTAGATAATGACGTAGGTCTTTCTGCCTTGGGACTCCATGGAGTCTCGTACGGGCACGGGCGCAGGTGTTGTGGAACAGGTGCAAGGTTTGGGGGTTCAGGGTCTAGGATTCAGGATCCAGGGTTTAGGGGTTTAGGGGTTTAGGGTTCAGGATTCAGGGTTCAGGGTTTAGGGTTTAGGGGTTTAGGGGTTTAGGGGTTCAGGGTTTAGGGTCTGTCTTGTGTCTCGCACTTCTTGCTCCTTCTCTTTCCACTCACCATCAGTACGAGACTCGTTCTGAGCTCGAGTGCTGCTCAGGACGGGCTCCCCATTCTGGATTCTCGGTTTAGGGTTTAGGGTTTAGGGGTTTAGGGTTTAGGGTTTTTTGAACACCCACTTAAACGACACAGAATCTGGAAATCAAGCCCGAACTACCTATTGCAGTCGAGTCACAACCCTGACTGTTGTCCAGGAGCACGGCGGCTGAAGTTGCTTGGCCGTCCTCGTTTGAGTTCTTCTGGCCCCCCAATTAGGGTTTACGGTTTAGG